AGGAAATTAAAAATAAAAACAGGAAATAAAACTAAAAACCGGAAATGAAAACAGGAAATAAAAATTAAAACAGGAAATAAAAATAGGAAATAAAAATAAAAACCGGAAATAAAAAAGCAGGAAATAAAAATTTAAAAAGGAAATAAAAGCAGGAAATTAAAAATAAAAACAGTAAATAAAAACCGGAAATAAAAATGAAAATAGAAAATAAAAACAGGAAATAAAAATAAAAACAGGAATTAAAAATTATGTCAGAAAATACAAATAAAAACAGGAAATGAAAATAAAAACAGGAAATAAAAAATGACGTCAGGAAATAAAAAATAATGTCAGGAAATAAATAATAATGTCAGGAAATAAATAATAAATAATGCCAGGAAATAAAAAATAAATAATGCCAGGAAATAAAAAATAAATAATGCCAGGAAATAAAAAACAAATAAAGTCAGGAAATAAAAAATAAAGTCAGGAAATAAAAAATGATGTCAGGAAATAAATAATGATGTCAGGAAATAATGTCACGGAATGGGAAAGGAAAGGAAAGGAAAGGAAAGGAAAGGAAAGGAAAGGAAAGGAAAAGGGAAAAGGAGCTGTCAGCAGGCAACTCTAAGGCAGAACAGGATGGTGCCTGCGAGGAGCACCAAAGAGAGCACAGGGGCACCAACCACTGCTGAGCAGCTCCATGGAATCAAAGGTTCTCACACAGCAATACCATCACTGCTTGGGGCAGGGCTGGCAAAAGAAAAGAGGGAAAGAAAGAGGAAAAGAAGGAAGGAAAGAGAGAAAGAAAGAAGGAAGGAAAGAAGGAAAGAGGAAAAGAAGGAAGGAAAGAAAGAAAGAGGAAAAGAAGGAAGGAAAGAAAGAAAGAGAAAGAAGGAAGGAAAGAAAGAGGAAAAGAAAGAAAGAAGGAAAGAAAGAAAGAGGAAAAGAAGGAAGGAAAGAAAGAAGGAAGGAAAGAAAGAAAGGAAGGAAAGAAAGAAAGAAAGAGGAAAATAAAGGAAGGAAGGAAAGAAAGAGGGAAAGAAAGAAAGAAGGAAGGAAAGAAAGAAAGAGGAAAAGAAAGAGGCCAAGGGCCCCGTCCCTAAAGCAGTAGGAATGCCCTGAGGAGTGGTAACCACGACTGGCACAGCTGGTGATCCCCAGGGCTCCCTGCCCTGGCAGGGATTGGAAAGAGCCACAAAGGGTCCCAGCCAGTGAAGAGAGGCTGGGCCGGCCCAGAGGCCGAGGCTGCCCCGCTCACTGCTCTCCTCCCGCTCTGTACTTGCCCGTGCAAAGTCAAAGTGGGGCTCATACTGTCCTCCCACTCCATAATTTGCCACCTGCAAAAGAGAAACAACAGCCCTTGTGAAGAAGAAGGAGGTGAAGACAGAACAGGACTTACCCTTCCAAAATCAAAGTGAGGCTCATACTGGCCCCCTACTCCGTAGTTGGCTACCTACAGTGAGAGGAGAAGCACAAGCTCTAGTAAAGCAGTTTGATCCAGCAAGACTGTGACTGTCATCCACAGCTTCCCAACAGTCAGTGGCAAACACCAAGCCCCGGGCAGTGACAAGCCTCTGGCACCTCCAGGAGCAGCAGCACATTGAAGACCAGCACTGCAAGATGCAGCTCCTGGTGAGAATCTGGTACTCCCCAGGACAGAGAAGGATTTTTCCTCTATGGCAGCTTTTCAGCCTCTGTTCTCTTCAAAACCTGTCACGGTGCTTTGACATCGTTCACGTTTAAACTACTTCATGTCAATAAAGAGGATCCCCTCTCCTGCTTGCCAGTTGATTATAAAAAAATAATCAACTTCAACCAGATCCTGGGGCACTTTATCCCCAGGAGTCTTGACAGGGGCACAGCAGCTTCCAGCCCCCTGTGTGGCTGTCCTGCTCTCCACGTACTCACACTTTGCTCACAGTCAGTAAAGCAGCTGCTCCTTCAAACGCCTCAAGCAAATGTACCAAAGCACTTCTGAATTACCATTTACACCTACAGCAAGTGTTCCCCACATGACAGGGACACCAGACACACTGTTGGCCTTCCTGAAGTCCCAGTCAAGCTGAACTCCCATCCCAGCAGCAAAGGTTTTTGGGCCCTGCAGCAGTGAAGCTCAGGTTTGGTTGTTCCCCTCCAGCACCAAAAGCCGTTTCCCCCTGAAGAGCTGCTCTACAAACACACCTTTGTTTCTTGCCCCCCTGTAAATAAAGGAGCTTTTAAAAGTGCCACCTGAGCCACCCAACATGAAGTGCTGACTGACATCCAGCCCCAAACTCGTCCTCAGAATTACCTGCAGCTCCTCTGCTGTGGAGACATCCAGCCCTGTGAGGTCCTGTATCCTCGTGTTGATCCGGGACACCACGGGGCTCTCGTACCCCGACAGCCACGCACTGGGGGGACAACAGGGACATGAGACAGGAACAGGCAGGGCACAGGACAGCAAACACTGGCACTGACACTTCCACATGACCTTTCTAGGACTTTTCAAGAAATATCTCTGTACTGCAACAGCCCTGAATCCAGTGACTGCATTCCTGAGGAAGAACACTTGGAGTAGTGCTCTGAGGGAACTCTGACTGCCCAGTGACAGCAGGAAACATTCCAAAGAGTGAAAATCTGCTTCTGGCTGTTTTCTAAACCAGGTACAAACAGCTTTGCTCCTGCAGTGAATTCAGCCCCCACAAGTGATGCATTTTGAGCACCATTTGGCAGAGGCACAGGTGAGAGCTGCTCTCCATGTCTGTGTGTCTGGACTCTGCTCCTCTCCACGCACAGCTCCGTGTGAGCTGCCCTGTCACATCACTCACCTGGGCAGTCCCACCACAAACCCTTCTGAAAATAATCCAGTGATGCATTCAGTTCTCTCCCATGTCCCCCACTGAACAATTTCTACCAGAACAACCTACTACAGATTTGCTATTTAGCACCTGCTTCAGGCAAATGATTTTCAAGGAGAAAAAAAAAAAACCTAAAACCAACCCTTTCCTTTTTTTAAATATAAAGGTCAGCCTCACAGTTCCAAAGGCATCTTTCAAAATGTTTGCCTCCTGCTATATATTAGAACTTTTTGGCTAAAAATACTGCATTTTTCTCTTTATCACCTGCTCACCTGATGCCTGGTTTTCTTGCTGCTTTACTCATCCCATGCCAACTTCATTTTACCCGTCCTCTGTTTACCTTGCAGCCCTTGCCAGTCATTAATATGGATGACAATGATGATTTGGGGCTCATTTTCCCCCTTTTTTGCAGGAAAATGGAGACAGGTAGTTCTACCTCTTTTTCCAGCAGCTGACTCAGCTTTAGGGCTCATCAGTGGTTCCTGCTGGAGGGAAGTCCCTGTGCTCAGCTGGAAACTATCAGCAGCAGCATCATAGTATTTTTATTCAAATGCACCTAAATTAAGTTTTTCTTCTTTAATTTGCATTTAAAAAAATATGATAATCCCCAAATCCCTCTCCTGGGAGGAACAGTAGCATGACACAGGACACGAGGCACTGACACAGGTTACAGAATCTCTACGAGCATTTTTTTAAATGGCAAATGAACCACAGATAAGAAGAAAGAAGATTTCTCAAGGCAGACATGCACAAACACAGGCACAGACCCATCCATTTCTGAGCACTGTTAGTACAGGGAGGGGTTACAGCACAACCTGCTTGGGTTTCAGGTGGTGGAAGGAGATGTAGATGCACATGAAGCCAAATAAACCCCCCCAAAAAGCAGCTGTGCTCTGCAGCCACGGTGAACAGGGAATGCTCACAAGCAATCCTAACCTCACATTTAACACACACAGAAAGAGCCCCAACACACCCACCAGCTCCATCTGCCTCTGTCCAGTCTGGGCATAAGGGCTTATAGGGGAAAAAAGGGAAAAAACAGGCCAAAGAAAGACAAACCCCAAGCATTCCTGCTGTGTGGGTTATTAGAGTAGCAGTGAATGCTGCCACAGGGAGAATACTGCAGCCTTTCAGGAAGGGAAATACTGCCTGTATTTTAAAAATAAAATTAGTTGCCTGAGGATACAAAGGAAGTCTATGAAAGGTGGAGGAACAGGGAACTGAAACCATAATCCAAGTGCCAGCCTGTCTGCTGAGCAGAGCTGGGGGAGGCCTGCAGTGCTGAGGAGTTACAGTGGGATTTAACCCTCTAAGTGTCACAAAACCTGCTTTGCCTGGTCACAGAATATTCCCATCTGTCCCACATTCCCTCCCCTGGCATCTCAGCCTGGTCCCTTGCTGACATCTCTGCCTCATTCCAGACCATTTCCTCGCACAAAGGAGGCTTTTTTCCTGCCCTTGTCTATCAAAGGAGACAGACAGACTGCCCTCACCAGTGCTGGGGGAGAGGCAGCATTAACAGCCTGAAAGGCTGCTCAGCAACCCTTTTTCTTCTAATATTTGCACAGTTCAGGGTTCAGTGTAAGTCAGCACATGCCCACAGCTCTGCCCTTCCACGGACATCTGGCAGATCAGCAACTTCACCTGACAGGTCCATGGGCACTCTGTCATATTCCTGACCAGCTGCCACCTCTGAGTGCACTGTGGGCACAGAAATTCCTCACAAAGAGGGACAAGCTGATTTCTGGGAAGCCATAGGCAGGGTAGATCAATATACAAATGATTTACTTACAGGAGGAGTTGGTATTTCCTTAATAACTACCACCCCCAATTCTCTGCCCACACAAGTTTGGTGTTTTCTGACCCACTTGGTTTTGTAAAAACACATCCCTGCACTAAGGCAATTTGCTATTAAAAAAAAGAGATACTTTCATTACCATGCTGAATTCCCACTGGGGGGGGTTGCTTTGCTTCTTCCTCACACCCACATCTGGCTTTTAACAACTTATATTTGTTACAAACAGATAGGAATAATCACATTTCCTCACAGGATCCCAGAGTGGTTTGGGTTGGAAGGGACCTCACAGCTCATCCCATCCCACCCCTGCCCTGGGCAGGGACACCTTCCTGTAGCCCAGGTTGCTCCAAGCCCCGTCCAACCTGGCCTTGGAAAATTCCAGGGATGGGGCAGCCACAAAAAATGTCTTGTAATTCTGCACGAGGTACCTTAAAGGTTTTTAATAGCACAATTTTTATATAGAGAAATCACTTTGGACTAAGCGACATACTACAGGGAAAAAAGAAACCTAGCCAGCTCTCCACAGCACACACATCCCCCAGAATCTCAGCTCTGGTCAGCCCAGGAGCAGACATTACATTTCAACACTGCTTCTGTGAGTCACTGGCCACGAAATACCAGCATTTCTGTTTAAAAGCCTTCTCAAATGCACTTAATATGTAAAAACAAGTACCAGCAGAGACACACCAGGGAGCGAATAAAAGCCCAGACTGGTATTTCTGCAGTGGAAACTTTACCACTACGTGCTACAAGCTCTGGCTGCCTGCTGGGAGGAGAGGGAGAGGGGAAAAAAGGCAGTTTTTTATCTTTGCAAGCAGTGTGTGAGTGGGTGGGTTTATTCTGGTGGTGCTGGCGAGGTGCCCCCGTTGACAGAGCCTGCCACGTCCCACCGAGGGAACAGTGGTGCTCTCAGAGACAGGAATGCTGTAATTTGGGAGGGCATTTGCTAGGAAGGAATGTTTGAAGGGGGAAAGCAGTCATCTAGTAAAAAAAATAAAGCTTTTTTTTTTGGGTTTCAGGAGCAATGATTCATCTGGAATCCAAACCAGCTCAAGCAGCTCCAACAGAAAGATGTTCCCAGCAGGAATAACACAGACCCTCTAAATCAGGCTGCCCTGGGCTCTGGAGGAGAATTCTACCTCCTACTCCGGGTTTAGGTGTCCAATTCTCTTGGAATGTCCATACACATCCTGGAAATCTGCACAAGGAGGAATGCAAAGGCAAGGGGAAACAGGACAAGGGCAGTCCCCCTCCACCCTCGAGAAATGGTCTTCCCTAAATTCTTGGATGTTTCTTCCCAATTCCAATTCTGGTTTCCAGCGAGAGACTGGATTTAAGAACTCAGCCAAGTCTGACTGGAGAGTTCCTTAGGTGTGTTGGTAGAAGTGCCACAGTGCCACCTTTTTGAGCACCAAACCTTAAGTAAGGTCCCATTCCCCAGGAGCTGCCCAGGAGGCTCTGTCCCAGGTTTTCCTTTGGCTTTTCATGCTGAGTGTGCTTTGTACTGTTCCACTGTGGCAGCTGCAATACCTCAGGGCATAACACTTCCACTCATGAAAAATCACAACTCTAAATCAAAATTTCTTTTACTGAGGCTCATCTATTTAAATAGGGGGCAATTATGCATCCCCATTTCCATCAGTGATCTGCTTCTGCAAGTGCCAATATTAGCACATCCCGTTTGACAGAAACCATGAGGAGGTGAGGGAGGTTCCTCAGCCATGCCCCAGAGCTGGCTGGCACAGAGGACAAATCCCAGGACTGAATAAATGCTGCCTTTAAAATATGCAGTGACAAACAACCAAGGTAGATGAGACATGGACAAGACTTGAATATTAAAAGCAAAAAAATAAAATTTAAATGCAACACGAATCCAACAGGAAGACAAATGTTCCTAAAGTCAAGTCCCTCTGGAAGGGGGGCCTGTGGGGGGGCAGTTTTAAGGAGCAAACAGACCATTTCCAAAGGATTCCCACTACCTATGTGTGCCCATGAGCACCCAGACCCACATGCTCCAGAGGTGCAAGGCAATTTTCAAAGGATAAAAATTAACGTTTCCAACTTTTAACAACAGTGGCCTTAGGATCTGACCTCAGCTCTAATGGTTTTCTAGTTTTTCTAAGACTTATAATCACTCCTGAATCAATCACCTTCCTGTGATCCACTATTTGGAACCAATTTTACCTTTTTAAAGACATTCACAGCTCAATAAAAGCCCTCAAGCTACAGACCATTCCAATTTCCAGGGGTTTGTTCAGAGCAGCTGAGAGAACACCGGGTTTCTAGTAAAGCAGCAACTGCATTCCATCATTTCAACAGGGAAATCCTTTACAACCACCACCTAGCTTTAATCTGCAGCATTCCCAGGAATCCCAGCAGCTCCTGGTTTCGAGCAGGCGTGGATATCTGGAGGTTTAGGAGCAGAGGTGAGCGGGCAGGTCCCTGTTGCAGCAGCAGCGGAGCCCCGCGCTCACGTTTAGTGCGTTAGTTGGAGCAGACAAGCCATGCTCAGCCAAAGGCACTTCCACCTTGGAATACCACCACTTCCAACCAATCCCAGCTCCAGCAGGCCACGTGCTCTGTGTTACATGCCAGCTCAGCTCACTTAGGCCACTTTCTAAAGACAGGCTTAGGAACAGAGGTCACACCAAATCCTCTCCCCGCACGCTCAGCGCTGCAGCAGCACAGCCCAGGACAGCCTTAGCCAGGGAATCCCTTGGAAGACGCTCCCTTACCTCTTCGAGACTCTGTAATGTGCTGTGGTCAGTTTGCCAGTCTCGGGGTCATGCACAGTAGCCCGGCTCAGCTACAAAAAGAGAAAGGACAAGGCTTACCCACCTCGCAGGCTGCGCTCTGCCAACCCCAGGCCTTCCAGAGGGTTCCGATTGCTCCGGATGCAAAGCTCACAAATTAGCAAGGTTGGAAGGGCAACAGAGGCTGCAGCTGCTGTGTTCAAATTGCACCAAATTGGTTGGAAAAATTTTTTTTAGATTGTCCTTTCACTTTTTTCCTCCCTTTCTAAACTTTTTTCCTTTTTTTTTTTTTTTTTTGTTTTACCTAAGATTTTCTGCAAGTAATTTCTGATGCTGAGTTTCCCAGACAATTCCTCTCCACCCAGAAGTTTAAGTCCTTCCTGATGGTGTGCGTGGCCAATCTTTTAATTAACACAACTAAAACCAGGGGAGGGCAAGCAGGGGCAGGTGGTTTTTCAGATCCAGCCAATTTTGGAAAACGCTGGCTAAATTCAATACTTGCAGTACTTAGAAGACAAACTGAAAAGAACCAGGAGCCTGGTGAAAACGAGCCAGATTTGTGTCAGGCAGGAGGTAAAGGAGCCCAGCAGGGAGTGTGGGATTATCCTGGACAAGGAGATGCTCTGTGTGTGTGTGTGTGTGTGTTTGTGCACAGCAAGGACTCAGAGCATCTCTCACACCTGTAAAGGCACTACACATTTCCCAAGGAAGGGGAGGGCAACTCTTGGTTGGTGAGAAGAGCAAGGGGAAAGGAATATATAGATTAAAACCAAACTCCAGATTTTACTGAAGGCTTTGTAGCATCACATGTTTTTCACACTGACTGCAGAGACCTGACCGTTGGCAAACACACACCGAGAAGGCGCCCGAAAAAGAAAGAGAACAAATCCAAACACGCCCCCAGAACTTCCAGCTGAAGGAAGAGACTGAGAAACTCAGCAGGAACAGCCTGTCACAGATCTGCAGGGAACAGCAGGGCAGACTCCACGGTGGTTCTTTAGCCCACCTCTTGTCTCCCCATAAAGAGCAGGAGGTACACACTCATTCCAGGCCCAAGACCTCTGGCACGGAGCTCTCTTACCTTTTGCTAATTCTGTAATGTGCCGTCTCCAAGGCTCCCGTTATGGGGTTTGAAATGGTGGCTCGCCTCAGCTGTGAAGCGAACCATCAGAATAGTTGCATTACAAGCACAATCTGCATCCCAGCAATCCGACCCTCCGAAGCCTGGGGGGATAACGCCCGGAGCCGCCGCGCCACCGCCCCGACCGGGGAACCGGGGGCAGCCTCCACTCTCACTAAAAACAGGGGGGGCCTCTTTGGGGTTTGTTTTTTAGTGTTAGAGAAGATCGGGTTCTCCAGAAGTCCTGTTTCCAGGTCTGCAGCAAGGAGAACAGTTGCTGGATAGAGCAAACTAGAGGCTTTGGTTCCCTCTGCGTTGCAGCAGCTGCTGGGGCAGCACAGTGCTGGGGCAGGTGAACACCTGGGGCTTTGGTACTCTGTCCGGCACCTGGACAAGGAGTGTCACAGGTAAAGTGGATCCAGGCAGCACCATCATTCTCAACAAGCCAAAGATGAATAAACCCTCCTTTTTGGGTTCTTCCTATACCAAAAGCAGCACTGAACTCCTCTGTGCTCACACAAACTACTGCTTCATCCATGGCTGTACTGAACTCCTGAGATACACAGAGTGGGAACTCTTGGTAACAAGAAAAGGCACTGGGAGCTCCTAATATGCTGCCTCTCCTTTCATCCCAGGCAGACATAAAAACCAAGGCACAAACCACAATTCCAGCGAGACTCCCACAGCTGAATAACGAGCTGAATAATGCCAGCACAGATCAGACAGTGCTGTCATCCCAGAGGATGGCAACATCCCAAGCACTGGGAATGAGGTGACCTTTCAGTCTCCAGAAACACAATCCTTCTGGCTGCTGAGCCGTGCGAGGCCTCGGCCGTAGGGAACACGTGGAATGACAACCACATACAGATGCTCCTGCATTAATGACCTGTGGATCTCTAAGTCTTTGCCATGAGCCAAATGTCTGACAGGAAAACAACGACCTCAGCAAGTCCAGAACTTACAGTGACCACGTCCACAGGTTTTCTGCTCCCTAAGGGAGTGATCTGGTCACATTCCACAGACACAGTGCCAGTGCTTTTGCAGCACTGAAGAGGCTCAGCCACCTACAGCCCAACATGCAGGGCTCTGAGTCTCAGCCCTGCAGCAAAGCTGCCTGCCAGGAGAGCAGGAGATGCCTCACAGTGAAGTGAAAAAGCTTGTACTTCCTGCTTACAGTTCAGACTGTCCTCTCAGGAATTGTGGAACAGAATCACTGAGGTTGGAAAAGGCCTCCAAGGTCATCGAGTCCAACCTGTGCCCAATGCCCACCTTGTCCCCCAGCCCAGAGCACTCAGTGCCACAGCCAGGCCTTCCTTGATTATTATCTGCACTCAGAAACAGGCATCTTTGCATCCAGTGTCTGAAACAGGGTTCAAGAGCCACCACAGTCAATAAGAAGGCAAATATCACCAATTAAGCCCTGCCCTCTTAAAGGTCTTTCATCTGCAGGCAACTTCCAAGCCTGGGAGACAGCAGCCAGTTTTATACCAAAATGGAGACTACAACCATTCTTTCTTGTCTGCACAATAAGGTGGCATTCCAGGAGCAGAGGAAAGGCTGCCTTTCCCTAGACAGCACTCTTCTCCAGACTTTAAAGGAAAAAGCAAAAACCAGACACCCCAGCAAATACCAGGAATACTCCAAGGCACCCTAGCTGCAGCATGTTTGTGTTCTGTTGGAGAACATCAGTGTGTGCTGAAATTGTGCCTGCTGGAAGAGCCTGGCAGCCCTGCCCTGCTGTCAGCTGGCTCTGCCCATCACACAGCACTCCCAGCTTTCCCCACCATCTCCTGCAGAGAGCATCACGGTGAGGAAAGCGAGGTGTGAGGGCACTGCTGCCACAGGACACATCACACCCACTCACACAGCAAGCACACGGGGAATTTGGGATTCCAAAGGCAAAGGAGCAGGAGGCATTTACCCCCATGGATTTTAAGATTGCAAAGGCAAAGGAGCATAAGGCATTTACCCTCGGCTTGGCCAGTTCCTTCACGGTCTCGATCTCCTCGTCAGAGATGATGTCCAGGAAGCGAACGATCCGGGGCTTGTCCCACTCATCCTCCTGCTTGACAGGGCCCAGGATGTACCTGGGATTCCTGTTCCCGTCGTAGTAGCGGCAGAAGAGTCTCTTTTGTCTCCGAGGAGTCTGGAAGGGAGGCAGAGCCAGAGGGTCAGGGAACTTCCATGGGACAGTCATATCTCTGAGAAACAGAGATGTCCTGAGGACAAGACAAGGGAACAACCCACCTTCCCTACCTCATTGTTGTTACAGGGTAAAGGGATGCTTTCAGTTTAAAAAAATTAGTACTGTCAGCACATGAATGTTGCCGTGTAATACTTCAACAAGCATTACTTGACATAGTCCTATTAAAGTAATTTTCTCACTAAAAAACCACCCTTATTTAATTCTCTGAGTAACTCCAGACTTCCACCATCCTTACTCAATTAATCCCACTGCTGTAGCACATCCAAGTCAGCCAGCACAGCCCTGCCTGTGGCAGTATTACTTTTAGTCTACTGGACAGACTGAAACAGGGAAGAAATCCAACACACTCATCCAGCTGCTCTAACAACTTCCTTGCTTCCACACCACACACAAATTGCTGACATTGTTTTGTTGGGTTCAAACATGTGAGAACAGTCTACTGCACTTTACCATTTTGAGCCCCTCCCCACGGCACAGCATTTCGTACTTCCTTCTCTCAGGCAGGTAATCCTTTTTCTTAACCTCAGTTTCCTTCTCCTGCTCTTCTGATTCTGTGCTGGACTTATTTCCTTCTTTCTCTTTGGCCATGATATATTCAAAATATTTCATGTTCCCGTTGGCTCTTTGATGTTCGGGATCTATTGACAAGGAAACAAGGGAGGATCACTGGCAGCTCTCCAGCTTGGATTATCCCAAAGTGGCTGTTTACAGGAAGCAAAAGGAAACAGAGGCACACTAGTGCTTCCCAAACCCTCACTGCACACAGAGGTCCCAGCACTCAGAAAAAGGGTTTGGGCCTTCCAGCCCATCTCACCAGTGAGGGAGAGACAAGGGAATGAGACAGGGAGGGAGCTGGGACAGCATGGTCAGCTGCAAACCTAAACAATATCCTGAGGGGATTGAAGATTTCTGGGGACAAAGCTTTTAACAGTCACTAAACTTACAGAAGCTTCAGATCTTTGATAAATGGCTCTCAGGAACTTTTGCTGCGTTAGGTTTAGTTCTGAGCTTCTCAGTGCCTCCTTTACACAGCCAATCAGCAAAGTATTTACAGCACAATAAATACTTTCATATTTCACAGAACAGTCTCTTATCTCGCTGTCTTGTATCCTGTATTTCTTGTTTTTCCAATCTTTTCATCTCCAGCATGCTTCATTTGCATTTAAATCATCTGCACAGATTTTGGTATCACCACTCTAGTTTCACTTTCACTCAGTTTGGTTTTGCCTGCACTTAAATGGGAAGTAATCTCAGCCCAGGCAAGTAAAATACAGGGAGAGAGGCAAATTTCAGGAAATAATGACTAAGATGGGTAAGGGGTTAGAAGCCAACAGTGCTGGGAGGCAGAAGGAACAATCCTTAACCCCAACACTCCTCAGGTGGTAGCTGAGCCTAAGTGTCCATCTGAAAACTCAAAACACGTTTTACAAAGGCAGGGCCAAGCCCAGAGCACAGGCAGGAGCACTGCCCAGGACAAACACACCCAGCTGGTTCCCCTCGCCCATACCCAGCTCCAGGAGGCGTTTGGTGAGTGCCATGGCCTTGCCCAGGTCCCCCTGCTGATACACAGCATAGCTCAGGTAGTCCAGGATGTAGACTTTGTCTGCAGAGGACACCTCTCCCTCATCCAGCTGCTTCAGAGCCTGCTCCATCCAGAGCTCCGTGTGGTAGTAGTCAGCCTCCGTGTAGGCAATCTTCCCCAGCTCAAAGCAATCCTCAGCTGTGAGGAAGGATTTGTGCTTCACACCTGGATTTAAAACAAAAGCAGAATTGACACAGGGTTCCAGCCCAGCCCTCACAGCGATGTTCTTTATTCCCCATTCTCACACTGCTTTAATTTCGGTTCTCCAGCAGCTCCCTTCTGCGCTTGCCACTTGGGGAAGACTCACATGAAGGCTGTAAATCCCTGGCAGAACACACAGATGCAGTATTTCATTCCCAGAATACCAGCAACGAGCTGAATGTCTTTACCATTAGTGAAAAACAAAATAAAACAAACCTTCCCCAAAACCCCCAACCACTCTGAGCAACAGTGAGCGAAATATGAAGTCTCAGAAATCTGTTTTCAAACACGTCACATTATCACTGAAGAACAGCTTGTTAGGGACAACTTGGAGGGGGAGGAAAAGGAAAACATCAGGCAGTAAATTCCCAGCTGCTCGGGATTTTTTTGAAGTCAGTCATTTTTAGAAACATTTTAAGTGACCTCTGAAAGATTAAACCACTTGTAAGCAAATTACAGATTCCTATTTTTGCCTCTGGAAATACAGGCCCAACGAAAAACCAAATTCAATCTTGTAAGAAGGAAACAGGACCTGCCAGTTTTCCAGCTAAAATTACACTCCTGATTACATCTTAATACATTTCCACCAGCAGCTCTGCAGCCCTCAAAGAGGGAAGCTGCTCTGCTGAAGGGACACCCCATGAAATGCAGAATTCCCACAGCACAGCTTTGCTCCCTGAACACCTTGTGCTGGGATGGGCAGGGACTGCAGTTGAGCCTGAAGCTGCAAACTCTCAAAGCACACCAAGATTTGGCAGCATGGCAGGAGCTGAGGGTCTGACCCAAACTGGCCCTGGGAAGGAAAACAAGGAACACAAACAAGTGACCACATGGGATATTCCCCTCTGGAGCTCTCCAGAGTCCAACCCATTCTTGTTTATACTCCAGAACTTCCAGGTTGTGCCATTACACTTCACCACACACAGTCAGGACAGCTCAATGCTTCAAAAGAAGCAAAACCTTCCCCTTGTGTTTTTGGGCTGCTTTAAGGAAACAGTAACGAGCTGCTTATTGTATTAGAAGGCATCTGTAGGTCCTTGAGATGATCTTGAACCAAACCCAAAAGCAAGGTTATACATCATAACATACAGAGCCAATTACCCTTAATTTTATTAGGCATCTGACCACAATGAGCACTTGCAAAAACACAGATGGATTGCACAGAGCTGACTTTTTGCCAGTTGGCACAGCACTATTTTTGAACGGAGGAAACAAGGAAGATTTATCAGAGAAAGAGTTTTCTGACAAGAGAGAAGCCTGTCCTCTCCTGCATATTAAAGGTCAGCCCAGGTAATGCCACACGAGCTCAAACCTGTGTATGCACTGCCTTTTGCTTTTCAGTTTAGACACTCTGTGAAGTTTAAGCCCAAAGAAACTTCCCAATCTGAAGGGTCCATCTTATCCCTGAGAGGGAAAATGATAATGAAGGATAGAACTGGTTTGTTAAAATGCATTAAGTTGTGCAATAATATCTGTCAGTGCAAAAAACTCTCACCCAGGCAAGATTTTTATTGCTCTTGATTTTTTATTAAAAGTTATTAACACCAAACTATCTTACCACTGCTAGAAGAAAGACACAGATTTCAACTAAAAAGGATTTTTTTCCTAAGTTTTAGCCACTCAAACCTTTTCCTGTTGTAACCTTCACACTGAGGAGCCGAACGAGGTGGAACAGAGGAAATGATTTATAAACAGGACATTTAAAGTTCCCAGTGACTGCTGCAAATAACATGGATGGCTCTTACCTGGCAGATTCCCTCTGGAGAGGGTGTCTGTGTCCAGATTATACGTGTCCTGGAGCCTCAGAAGGGCTTTGGCTGCCCCAGTCTGATCCTCATCATTGGGGAAGAACTGCCTCTGGATGGTCATGTTGGAGATAAAGCCTGGGAAAGACAGGGAAACCCTTGGCTTTGTCCTGGGAATTCTGTAAACTCCAGGCATTAAAGATCCACCTTCACACAGCTCTGAACTGAACTCATGGCACATGCTGCACAATTAGCATTGGGTGGGTTTTTTTAATCAAAGAAAGCAAAGGAACAGTCACAAAGAAACACTTGGGGGCTTTTTGTAGCAGCACCAGGGGGGTGTTTGTTGGACACGAGACCAGCAGGTCCTATAAAGTAAAAAATATTCTCTTAAGGAACTGTTCCCCTCTTTTGCCCCAGGTTCCAGAGGCACAAGCAGTGCCGACATGATGCAGAAATCTAAACAGCATGACCAAAACCAGCCCAAGCTCAGTATGCAACACTCAGCTGGCAAAACCATCCAAAAACTAGTGAACTGGGCAGATCTGTGATTTTTGCCACACTCTAGCAGTCCTTTTTAACTATACAGAACTCATAACACTATTACTATATGGAAAAAAATACAATATCCTTTCTCTCCTGTTCTGCCTTTCTTTCACTGCACTGCACTTCCCCCAATATTTTCTTTTCTCCTTATAACAAAAAGTGGAGTTTCTTTTCCTCCCCTCCTCATTCAGAAGAAGGGCTTAGGACACACCAGTGCAGATTTGAGGCTGGCAGGTGCAGAGCCTTTTCAGCTGGCACATTCAGCCCCTCTCACAGCAACAGGGAAGAGGAATGTGCTGAATCCCGACCAGAGACGAATCCTGGGTCTGTTTAAAAGCTCTGCTTTCTTACAGTTCCTTACTACAAACCTGGTATTAGCTGCTGAGAGAGTCTCACAGGTCAAATATAACCATGCTGGCTTCCTTTTGCTAAGTGTCTTCCACAGCCAACCATTTCATGACCTGTTCCTTGCTAAAGAGCTTCTACTCTTGCTGAAGCAAAGAGCCAGCAGAGTGTTTACCACACTAAAGCAAAGAGCCAG